TCAAGATGTCTCTATTATCTATGAGCCATGGGTCAGTTGGAAGAACTGTGTTCAGTGCCACTGTCAGCTTGTCCCACCCATCTGGTTTGGCCCCTAATGGTGACTTGTGTGGCTGATTGCGAGGGGGGAATGATGGCATGGACGACTTCTTCCCTGCAGCTATAGAATTGGGGTTTTCTCAATAGGGCATCAGGTAACAGATTTTTCCCTGTTGGGATGTACTTCGGCTCAAATTTAAATCATCTGAAGTATTGTGCCCAGCAGATTTGTTTGGGAGATAGTTTTCTGGGTTTTTTTAGAACTTCAAGGTTTTTGTGATCAGTCCAGACCTTGAAGGGCACTTTACCTCCTTCCAGGAAATGCCTCCAGGAGAGGAGGGCCCAGAGGACTGCGTAGGCTTCTTTCTCCCAAATGGCCCACCTCCTTTCGGTGTCGGTGAGCTTCTTGGACATGTAGGCACAGGGTAGGAGCTGTCCTTGTGGGTACTTCGGTAGGAGCATGGCTGCCACGGCTACATCACTGGTGTCTGCTTGGATGAAGAACTGTCATTCTGGGTCTGGGTGTTGGAGGATCGGCTCCTTGGCAAAGAACCATTTTAATTTCTCAAAGGCTCTTTGGCAGTCCATTGGATGATGAACTGTCATTTTGTGGTGAAGGTTGTTGAGAGCGTGGTGGCACGACAGCTTCCCCGGCACCTGGATGAAGCTATCTATCTAGACCCGTAGATAGACCCATCGGGCTTCAGGCAGGGGTACAGCACAGAAACGGCATTGGTCGCGTTGGTGGATGATCTCTGGAGGGCTCGGGACAGGGGTTGCTCCTCTGTCCTAGTCCTATTAGACCTCTCAGCGGCTTTTGATACCATCGACCATGGTATCATGCTGCAGCAGTTGAGGGGGTTAGGAATAGGGGCACCGTTCTGCAGAGGTTCTCCTCCTTCCTCTCCGACCGCTTGCAGTTTGTGTTGGCAGGGGGACAGAGGTCGACCTCGAGGCATCTCGCATGGGGAGTGCCGCAAGGGTCGGTCCTCTCGCCCCTCCTGTTCAACATTTATGTGAAGCCGCTGGGTGAGATCATCCGTGGTTTTGGGGTGAAATGTCATCTGTACGCTGATGATACTCAGCTGTACATCTCCACCCCAGACCACCCCAACGATGCCCTTGATGTGATGTCCCGCTGCCTGGAGGCTGTGCAGGTCTGGATGGGGAGGAACAGACTCAGGCTCAACCCCTCCAAGACCGAGTGGCTGTGGTTTCCGGCGCCCCGATATAGTCAGCAGGTGCCATCGCTGACTATTGGGGGTGAATCTTTGCCCCCCACAGAGAGGGCTCGCAATCTGGGTGTCCTCCTGGACACACGACTGTTTTTAGAAGAGCATATGACGGCCATGGCCAGGGGGGCCTTTTATCAGGTTCACCTGATTCGCCAGTTGCAGCCCTTTCTGGACCGGGATGCCCTGCGCATGGTCACTCATGCCCTTGTTACCTCCCGGTTGGACTATTGTAATGCTCTCTAAATGGGGCTCCCCTTGAAGAGCACTCGGAGGCTCCAACTGGTCCAGAATATGGCCGCGGGGGTGGTTATGGGCGCAACTCGTTGCGCCCACGTGACACCCCTCCTGCGCGAGCTGCACTGGCTCCCAGTGGTCTTCCGGGTGCAATTCAAGGTGTTGGTTACTACCTTTAAAGCGCTCCATGGCATAGGACCCGGGTACCTTCGAGACCGACTTCTGCCACCAATAGCCTCCCACCGACCAGTCCACTCCCACAGGGAGGGTCTCCTCAGGGTGCCATCGGCCAAGTTATGTCGGCTGGCGACACCCAGGGGGAGGGCCTTCTCTGTGGGAGCCCCAGCCCTGTGGAATGAACTGCCCCCGGAAATACGTAAGATCTCCGACCTCCAGGTGTTTTGCTGCGCACTGAAGACCCTGTTGTTCCGCCAGGCCGGGCTATCAACATAATAATTTATTATTATTATTATTATTATTATTATTATTATTATTATTATTATTATTATTATTTTGGGACCGGTGGCTGGAATTGCAGTGGTGGCTGGAATCGCACTGGTTTTTGGACTGGTATGGGCTGCAGGATTGGGGCAGGTGTCCACTGGTATTGTACCCACCTCTGGCTGGGGTAGAATGCCCATCCAGATGGGATCTGGTTGGCTGGAGGCAGCCTGAGGACTGGTTACTGGGATGGAGTATTAGCTCCCAACAGCCCCAGTTGTGGTCCCTGTAGCACCAGACTGGGCTGGCTCAATGGGCTTTGCTGCTGCGCTATTCCGATTCCAGTGATGGCTGTCACCTCAGTAGATGGGGCCCAACGTGTGAGGTTATGGTATGACCTGCTTCGTGCCGAATGAAAGGAGGTAGATGTTCCACTCAGTGGTGCTGTGGCTTCCTGGCTCAGGAAGGTGAACGTGGGTTGAGCCAGTGCCAAGAGGCTGAGCAGCGGTGCCCATGCTGAGTTGGCCGAACTGCTCTGGGAGGCCCACTAGTGACTGACTGTGTGACGGTGGCTGGAATCCCCACTCTTGGGGATTCCTGCGGCATGCTGGTCTGGAAACCCTCCATTCAAGGGCTGGGGTATGCTTTACTCTGCTTCTACCTATCCGCTGGTCCAGCAGCATCACCCCGGTCATCATTTCCTGGAGTGGCACAACTCCCATGGCTTTGCCCCACAGAGTAAGATCTGGTTGCATGGCTTGCTTGGACACCAGCTCTTTGGACTGGGCACCCAGCTGGCGCTCCCTTTCTGTGGCCTCCTCCGCTTCCACCATGGCTTGGGAAGGGGAGTAGATGGTCTCAACATAAATTGCCAAACCAGCCCATGTGGCTCCCTCCATGGTCACTTTGTCTTCCTCCATCTTCTCTGAGTCTTCACGTCGCCCAGTGTCGGGTTGACATTCGGTGCTCGGGACCCTGGACAGCCCCCCGGGGTCTGGGGAGCTGGTTGAATTTTAAAGGAGATTTGGGTTAATGTCAGGGTTCCAAGTAACAACTCCAATGAAAGGAGACTCTGAGGCTTGAAGTTCCTCAAATTTCCATTTTATTAGAGATGTCATATTGGCACATCTGGGAAAACCCGAATCTGAAAGCTTCCAGGTTTTCCCCACCCAAAGGAAATTCCAAGTCCCTGCCCAGCACCCACATGTCCATCACGTGGTCCAATCAAAGCACCGTCCCTACTGGAGATGCCTCCCAATCACACCCCTCCAGGTGAAGGGCAAGATGTCCTTGACTCTCTGAGAAAGGAATGTTATTATGACTATATATTACCCCTGCTCTGTACAATCTCCCCTCCCAGTTTTCCACAGTACTAAATGTGCAAAAGATGGCTTCCAGGCCTGACACCTTGGTTTTTATGGAAGGTTTGTGCTTGATGACCTAAAAACTAGAAAGCCTTGCAGTCATCATAGCCTGGTTTCAAAAACTTATTTGAGAGAATGTCTATGCAGGAATTAATGTTAAGTTAATCTTTCTAAAAGTATAGAATGTGATATGGGTTTTCCTCAAGGACTAGCTTTCAAACAGAGATGACAGGCCATCTAACTGTGATAATGAGGCACAAAGCATCCAGAATTCTCATCTGATAGAAGCCTACTTTATGTACAGTAACTGACAGTTTAAGGACAGTTCATGTCCTACATTTTAGGACAAGTTCTCCAATTTTCCTTCTAGCTTCTTCCTCAGGTCATTCACCATCCTACTTAATAATTTTTCTTCAATTCTAACATTTGAGGGAAAATTACTGAGTAAGAAAGACGAATAGGCTGAGAAAGAAGCTAGAAGAAAAATTGGGGAACCTGTCCTGAAATACATCAAGCTGTTTACGAAAATAGAAAAAAATGTTCATGTTTGCTAGAGGTTCTTCACCTAACTTGTTCAATTTTGTACAATATTCCAGCCAAATGAAACATTATTTGATTTCTCCAGAAACTGAAGCCAGTTAATTCAAAATTTCATGGAAATTACTTAGCTCCGATATCTTTTCAATCTCCTCTCCAACTTTGTCTTCTTCAAAATCTATGCTTGCAGCTTCTTCAGAAAGCTCAGCTTCCTAATATCTGATTCTATCTGGCTCCTACCATTTAGAATAAGTAGTTGCATTTCAAAAGCAGTGTCCTGGAACATTGTGAACTGTTTCTGTTGGTACCATTAATCTTCTGTTGATCAAATCCTTAATGTTGCAAACAAAATTCAAAAGTTGTACTGTAAAAGGAATCTCTTGTATTTTGGGAGAAAGATGAATTTTTTTTTAAACTCATAAAATTTAGAAAAAACTCATAATTATTTAGAAAATAAAACAGAAATTAAGCAAAATTCTTATTGCATTTCTTTTGTATATATAAACATTTTTATTTTTATTTTTTTGTTGCTTTCATATTCACATGTCCTCAGACTCAAGGTGGAATACACAGAGGCTCCAACATGGCCTTGCTGTAGGCCATTGATAGTGGATGATCCACCACCACGTGAGTCTGATTCCCACAGCCTAACTATTATGCTGTATTGATAAAAACAATGAGTAATGAAAGAAAAAATGAGCCATGAAACACCTGTCTTTAAATGGAACTTTTCAGGAATTAAGCCACTTTGTGATACGCTTGGCCAGGCTGGCTAGACTTGATAAGAATTGGAAATTCAATACTATTTGGAATGTTTTCCAAAGGCAATTTGGTACAGACTGCTTTGAGAAAGGATTTGAAATTTCTTACCAGGGAGGGGTGATTTGTAACAGGTCCTAGCCTTTGGTAAGTATTGTATTTATCCTGTTTCAGTCAAACAATTCCACATCAGCTAAAGCATCCTATGGAGAGCTTGAAAGACTCTTTTTGTCTCTTAATATTGCTTGTTTGTTGTCCTGCTGTAGGCCATTAGTAGTTGTTATAAGAGCAATTGCTTTCAAAGCACAAAAAGGTTACCAGAACAAATACATGTGGTCAAGCTGTCCTGAGGATGTATATTTAATTCAAAACCTTTGTTTTTAAATTTGTAGGTAAAACAGGCCAATGCAGACTGGCTGCCATCAAAACAACCAATACTGAAGAGGTATTATAAGGGAGGGGAGGGTTGCCTTATTATCTTTAGGAGAATAGTTGCTAAATATTTTATGAGTGCTTATTTTATGGCTGGATATGTCTTTTTTATTCCTTATGTTCTAGTTCACAGAGCCTAGAGGATGTAGGAAAAGTTTGGAAAGGAGTTCAGAAAGACCATGATAGATTATGCACTTTGGTCACTCCAATGTCTGGTGAGTTTTGGATTATCGAACCCTAAAATCTAATGATTTCTGTAATTTTTGAGATAATGAAAACCTCCCTCAGATGTTCATCTCCTGTCTTACTTCGGCATGTTTGGTTTTTGAGTTTTTGGCTATTATTTCTCAGCCAAACCTGCCTACCAGGGTTGTAAGAATAAGAATAAAACTGATGGTGAGAAGCAAGCGAACATATCAATAGCTAATATGAAATAATGTCTCCTTCTAGTTGAGCTGAGTTTAAGGTAACAAGTCTATGTAGTTTCCTTGACAACAGCACAAAAGGGTTTTGCCATGATTCTTCTGGGATGTTTTTCTTTTTTTCAAAAATGTGTTTTATTGATGTTTATTATAAGATAAAATATAATGAAAATAAAGATTAAGAAAAAAGGAGAGGAATGCAGGATTTTTTTTTTTAAAGAAAAAGCACAGTAAAATACTAATACAATTACAACCTCAACTTATTAAAATACTAATACAATTACAACCTCAAATTACTTACAATTATTACAAGCTAGTTCTACAACTGCACAATTATTAAATCTTCAAACTAAATTCTAAATTTAATTTTTTTCTATTTCATAGAAACCAGAAGCAATACCCCAATAGAAACTTTTAAAGTTCGTGTTAACATATATACTTTCATTTTTAATAATATTTTGCAAAGTTTAGGAATTATTCAAGGTGTGTGTGTATGTATGTATGTGTATGTGAGTGTATGTATATGTGTGCGCATATGTGTGTGTACATGTACCAGTATATATATATGTGTGTGTGTATGTATGTATGTATGTATGTATGTATGTATGTATGTATGTATGAAAACAGGAAAAGGAAAAAAAACCCATTTTCAAACCCATTTTATAAGCACAAAAACATATGTCAAACCAATAAAAAAAAAATCTATCCCAACTCCCTCCAGCTTTTTTTTCAAACTCTCAATCTGGTTTCTAACCCTGATATGCTTCCTGGAAGTTTCCCACTCAAATATTCAAGGTCACACAGGGAGTGCCAATTGTGTGTGTTTCTCTCTCCCTCTCCCTCTCTCCCTCCCTCCCTGTCTGTCTGTGTCTCCATGTTCATATTTCATTCATTCCAGGACTGGCTTTCAACTTCAGAGGAATCCTAAATCTGAGGCAAATTGAGGCATTGTAGGAAATATTTTTATTCACCCCAAGCAGGGCAATTTGCCTTAACTGCTTTTCCCAGTTCAAAATCTCTGCAAACCTTTGTCATATTTCTTTCACTTTTTTTTGTTAAAGCACTTTTTATTTCTTTTTGACAATGTTTTTGTTTCCATTACTATTATCTTTGGGTTTTGCTCCTTCTCCACTCTTATTTATCATGAATTAAAAAGCATTAAAAATAAAATTTTAAAAAGAAAGAAAAGAAAGAAAGCTTGTGGTATTTGCTTGGGTGTTCAGTGACTGACAGGTCTCTTCTTACTTTTGAATGATCTTTGCAATCAGATTCTCATTGATCTGATCATACCTTTTGCATGAATTGCAAGATAATAGAACAGGCTATCTCAGGTGCTGATTGAAAAGTGGAATAGGCTGTTTAGGGACAGAAGGCCAAGAATAGGTCTTAGTGAAACTTGGTAGTACAAAGGATTGTTATGAGTTTGAGGAATGCCATAAATTATTCAGTAACTGGCTTTTATAGCCAAAAGACAAATTACTGATTGAGATATCTATTATGGCCAAAATTTGTAGTTCAGTCTTGGAGGCACTGCCCTGGCTATGGCTAGGACACCATCAAAATGTATCTTTGGGTAAGGAAGGAATAATTAACTTTCCTTCCTCCTGTTGCAAAAAACTGCTATGTCCTTCTAGAGATCTGGTGCTGGTTCTGCAAGTGATATAGTGCAGATGGTTTTGTAATTTCAAAATTCAAGAATCTTTTAGATATATTCTGATTTAGAGTAATGGTAAAAGGAGAGCTTGCTGCATGGCAGTGGTTGAGCACCAATTTTTTTCTATGTTACATAACATTATAGGAGAAAGACAGACAAATCAATGACAGAAGTAAGTAAATAAATAAATATATGGTAATCTTCCTGCCAGCAAAATTGAAGCTCCCATTTTCCTGAATCACTTTCTGATATGTTGAACTTCTTAGGATGAACCATTCTAACAAATTGATATTTTGTTAAGAGTATTGGGTTTTGCCCAGTGGTGGGTTTCTACCGGTTCGCCCTGGTTCAGGCGAACTGGTAGTGGCAGCGGCGGGAGGCTCCGCCCACCCACCTGGATGTCATCACAGATGCTCTGCGCATGCGCAGAAGTACCGTGCGCAAGCGTGCACTCACAGTTCCGAACCAGTCACGAAGGTAAGTGGAACCCACTACTGGTTTTGCACATGAAGTGGATTGGGAGGTCTACTTTCTGTACATATATGTATAGGGAAATATAATTTTACACATACAGATAATCCTTAAGGTTCAACACACCATTTAACAAATGATTGAAATTATGACAGACCCGCCAAAAGCCCATTTCAAAGTTATAATGGCTGCTGCGGGCGTTTGGTCATCTGCTCTTATGACCCACCACAGGGTCACTGCAGTGCCCTCTTACCTCTCTCTCCCCCATCCCATAGTGCTTGGGCCTCTTCCCCACATGCTGACAATGAGTCCCTAGGCCAAGCAGCAGCAGTTGCCATTTTGTCCCACTCCTTTGTAGGCAGGACAAAATGGTGGCCATCAGAGAAATTGCTTCATTTTGCTGCACAGGGTCTGCACAGTGCTGCATAAAGCTTCTGCAGTGTTGTGCAGATCTTGGTAAGGCAGCAAAATGAAGCAGTTTGTCTTGGGGCTATGTGGCGGCAACCCAAATGTGGCTGCCATTTGTGGGTGGGGACAAAATGGTGGTCACCAGACAAACTGCTCCATTTTGGGGTGCCTCCTGAACACATTTCACCTAATGACTGCTGCAACATGCAATTGCAATAGGCAGGCTCCATTATTGCCGTATCTCGAGGACTACCTACTGTATATACAGATAGTCCTCACTTAGTGACCATAACTGTGACTGGCAAATCGGTTGCTAAGTGTTACAGTTGCTAAGCAGAAAATCATATGACTGCAATGGGTTTATGACCTTACAGTATTTTTCATTTGGTTGTTAAGTGGAGTACTACAGTCATGAAGTGAAACATCACATGTCTGCAACTTAGAATTTTACTTCTATAGTCTCTATTAACGCTTCTTGTTGCAAGCTGGTTACAAAGCATATGAATAGCTATTACATGACCATGGGACGCTGATACAGTCATAAATGCGAGGATTGTCCACAAAGGTTTTTTTTACACCATTGTAACTTCAAAGTTAGTGGATAAGTGAGGAATATCTTTATTCTGCCACGTACAGATGCATTTTCTTTGTCTTGGATATCTTACTTTTCTTGAATCGAAATATAATTTAGAAAAATGAAGCATTTACCCAGCATCTTCTGCAAAATGGGCAGTGTTTGATGTGCTGTGTTTTATCTAGGGGCTTCCCTCTATCATTAAAAAAAAATTGTTTTTCACAGAACATAAGAAGACATCTGGTCCCCCTAACAGCATCCGGACCCCTCCATATGCACCCCTGTATTTACAACATATTTCTCCTCTGGATTATCAACACAACGTATATATTCCAGGAACCCCAACAACATCTACCAATAAGGACGGCTCTGTATTTCTGGAGCAGGAGGCTAAAAACAGCTTCTCCACGTTTGGAAAGAGGAAGAAAATGATCAATTATTCTGATAAGCATGACAACATGGTTATTAACAACCTGAAATAAAGTTTCTTTTGTAGACCAGCAGGCATTGCAAACCATGCCTAAATATTTCTGTGGCGCTGGAGATCTCTGACTTTAACTCTGTATGTGATTGTACATAATATAAGGGGCCAAGAGTTCTTACCTACAAGCTACTTCCCCTGAAAAGACGGCAAAAAATGAATGACAGTAATGTCAAGACATAGTAATGACTGTAATTTATAATGCATGGATATGTCTCCATTGACAAAGGTGAATGCTATCTCTTGGAATTGGAGAAAGGAAAAAAACGAAAGTAAAATAGAATGGACATAACATAACATTCCCTCCTCCCCCCTCCCCCCACCCCCCATTTTATTTCAGAATTCTGGTGGCTGCTTTGTGTGGAGAATGCAACACGACTGGCAAGTTGAAAAAGAACATAAATGAATCACTTGTTTTACACTATTGAATATAATAAATGATTGGGATTGGGATTGTCTGAAATTCAAAGAGGCCATGGTATACACCTTTCAATTTTTAGCAACTTTCCCCCATTTTGTAGATGAAGTAATTCTTTTTAGACTGTGAATGTTTCAACACTGCCTTTCATTTTGTTGTGTTGTTAGCACATTTAGCAATGTGGAAAATTATGGAAAGCTAAAACTATTTTTTGAAACATAGAGTTTGTGAGGGTAGAGGTAATGCTTAGCAGAAATGCATCTATTTATTTCATATATTTCACCCACTGATAAAAACATTTTCTCATTATTACATACACTTGGATTTAAAACAAAGCATCATTTAAAATGGGCTTTTTAAAGAACTGAACTTTTGAACAAGAATTGTAATGTTACATGCATGTACAACAGGGGTGGAGCTTTCAGTGCAACCCCATGGTGTTGCTTTATCATTCTGATAAAAGCAGCAAGCTCCTACAGAGCCCCATGTTAAATGCACACACTTCCAAGTTGAAGTATAGAACAAATAATCCTACAACTAATAATATATGTTATGCTTTATTTTGAATCCATTATGCATTTCCAATGAATGTTTTCTAATGGAATGAAGTTGGCAAGGAGCCAGTACTATATCCCAGTGGTGGGTTGATCCCAGTTTGCCCCGGTTCAGGTGAACTGGTAGTGGCGGTGGCGGGAGGCTCTGCCCACCTGCCCAGACGTCATCAAAAATGATCTGAAAGTGATGCGCGCTCACTACCTATAGCGAACCAGTAGTACCAGGTTTTGAAACCCACTACTGCTATAGCCCCTAAAGATATATTGTGGAGGGAAAACCCTCCAAGGAGAATGAATGTTTTTGATATCCTTCCAGACTCTGCTAAGCAATTTTAGCTATCTTCTGAATAGCAATTCTATGAGACTGTTATATTCTATTGAATGGATGTTATATTTTGGACCAATCTACAGCCAAATCGTTATCGCTTTCCTTCTCCCTTCAGCTAATTTTAAAGGGTTTTGAATACAAAGCCACCAGTGGTGGGTTGCTCCCGGTTCTGACCGGTTCTATAGAACCGGTAGTAAAACTCGCGGGAGACTCCGCCCACTGACCCTGATGTCATCAGAAGTGATCTGCACATGTGCAGAAGCTTCTCACACGTGTGCGCGATCCCGTTGCAAACCGGTAGTAAAGGTAAGTAGAACCCACTCCTGAAAGCCACTATTTTTACTAGACACAACTAGACACAAAGGAGAGCTGAAAGGAGAATAAGAATTAATTCTATTCTAGTGCTCTAATATTGGGAATAAATTCTAGCCTACTCTTCTGAGGCTGGGCAAGATGAGTAGGAACGTTTTGGGACATATTATATGTATTCACCACCATTGCAACTAACCCTGATGAACACCAAAGAGAGATGAAATGGCTATAAAAATGGTTCTGTCAGATCACATTATCAGTATTTGCATATATGCACAATTTTGCCCTATGGACAAAATCAAAAGAAACCCACGAGTTTCCAACTTATTGTAAAACTTGATGTAGGATATATAATGGGAGAAAGAGGCTGATAGAATTAGAACTTAACACAATAGATCTTCATTATACTACATTATCAGTTTGTTCTTTTCATAGGCATTCCAGATTTAAATATTTGAAATTCTACCCTTATTTTTCACAAGATTGGCTTCAGCAACAAATTAATTGCAGATCAGGTCCATTGGGTGCATTGGTTTAATTTGTGTGTATTTATGTGTATGCGTGTGAGTATTTTTTTTCCCCTTAAAAACAGTCTTTGACCTATATGCATGGAAACAGTCTGCCAGAATCACAGAAAGAAAAATTGATTGCATTTGAATTATAGTTGACTGCTTTTTGAATAATACATGCAGTGCATGTTTGATTTATAGTAATAAATTGTTCTTTAATAATCCCAAATGGAAAAATTTTGTTGTTGCTTTTTGGTCATATTACTAGATAATAGAAGGAGCAATCAGTGAAAAATATTTACAATGGTTGTGTGGGTAGAAGAATAGCTTGAAAATCTCTAAGGTGAAGTTCTAGTAAAGTTTTCTTGCAACAATCTTTCAAAGCATGGTTACTTGTTGCAATTACATTCTTAAAGGCAAGCAGTATTAAACTACTTTATCTTGTGGTTTTAGGGAGGGAGCTAGGCTAGGCAAATTTATGGGAATATAATCAGTGGTGGTATTCATCCAGTTCTATCAGGTTCAGGCGAACTGGTAGTGGTGGCTGCGGGAGGCTCTGCCCACCTGCCCAGATGTCATCATGTCCCATTTTTGACACTCTGCGCATGTGCAGAAGGCCCTGCACATGCGTGGAGGTGGCACATGTGAGCGAATTGAGTGCATGTGCGCTCACATTTGCAAACCGGTAGCGAAGGTAAGTGAATACCTAAGTGAATAATGCTTTGTGAATGTCTAGGTGGCTTGTGGTTGACGTTATCCCTACATATTTGGGCTATGTAATCAACAGAGAAATTTTGCTTTTGTTTGCATTTTTCCCCACTGATCCAATATAGCAAAAGTGCAAGAAAAATTGAGTTCTTACTGAAGCAGAGTGGGGCACATTATATTGTGAAATAAGCTAGTCTCAAAAGGTATATTTAAGTATTAAACCCCAGGTCTGGACAAGTAATGATACACTGTAGTTCTAAATATTTTTTAAATGTAGAGGTGGGTTTTTATATACAGGATTGCAACCATTTGTTTTATAGCGTGAGGCCTGAAAGCAGGCCCTGAAATATTTACTGTTGCCTTCGGTGATAGACGAGACGGACACAGTTCTTCAGTAACAACAGCTCTTTAATAGTAGACCAGTACAACCCAACAACTGGCTTGTCTGGCAGTGTCCTCTTTTATAGAGGGCTGCCAGATGGCTTAGCCAATGAGATTTAAGTATTTTTCTGCCAATTTGGAGGACCTGAGTGAAGCCTACAGCTCACTTCCTTACTTCCTTATATGGTATATAACATTTACCTCTACAGTATTTTTAAAAATTGAGTTCATGAATTCAAGATTTAAATTTGCTCACAATTAGTGTGGGTGAATGGAGACTTGATCGCAGAAACTGAATCTAGGGGAACTAGTTTTACCATTTGAACATGGCTGTAGTCAGTCCTGGATATGGGGATGTGTTCCCTTCAGTGGAAGACCACTGGAGAGAGAATAGAGAATGGGAAACAGGTACAATGCTGGAATCCGAAAAGGCATTTTTTTCCAGAGCATCATCAAGTTGAGCAAACACTTTGATCCTTTACAGAGAATTCCTTGCCTTCATATTCATAAATATAACTGCTTCCCCCATATCACTGACTTGTGTTGGATGTTTCATAGACATAGTGTTGCTTCCTAATTTGATGAACATTACATTCTTCTGGCATGCTAAGCAGGCCTTTCACACTTTGTTTGATTATACAGCTTATTGATTTCTCAGATAATTCCAATACGGTAGAGCCTGATGCAATATTGATCACTTGTGAGAGAGCTTGGCTGCAAAACAGCTTTGTTGAAAAAAAATGTAAAATATTAGCACTTTAGTTTGATTAGCATGACCCATAGTAGAAAGTATTATTTGGTGAAACAAAATAGTCCTAAAAGCATACATGGTATTTCTAGAATTGGAAGGAAGACTGCTTCTAACAATATCTCTTGAAAAGACATGATCCTAATGTCAGTAATCAGTAATGCTGTTGCTAGGAGAGAACCACTCTTAGTTGCACAGTTGATAATAGATGGAAGGGAAGCTGTTATCTTCGAGATAAGTCAGACTCAAAACACCAGATTTTAATGAACTAAAATGAAAAAATGCACACAAATTCATAAAACATGCAAGTGATGCATACTGTGTTAGATGCATAATATGGCAACTTTAAAATAATACTTAAACAGAAAATTATGCAGAATTATATTAATCAGTTTTTTCATTTTATTGGTAAACAGCTAATTAAAAAGCTGAAACTGAAAACATACAGTATCTTTAATCTGGGATTTTCAGTTCAGAGTAACAATTTCTTTTCAACAATGCAAACTGTCTTCTGGGGTATGTTGCAAGCTCAATAAATCCAAAATATTAGATTTCTTAAACAGTTGCATTTCAAGTTTTCAGTATATAATTCAACACAAAATTAATATGATTAAACCGTATTTCTCTTCACAAAATATATTATCAATCATTTCACAATCAACTCCAAGTGGAACTACTGTAGAAGAGGTCCAAATCACAGATGCCAGGGTCCTTTCAAATACATGAGAATTATGTTCCAATCCATTATTCTAAAGTCCTTGCAAACTGCCAAGATATTTCGGCATATTTTTTAAATGGAAGTTTAGAATTTTCCAAAATATTTTTCAATACAAAAAGTAACTGGAGAGATTGCTTTTCTCTGACTTGTCCATAGAACCAGGGCTGCATAACATCATAGCTTACATAGGTAAAACCTGGCTAGAAAGAATATGCATATATGTGTGTGTGTGTGTGTGTGTGTGTGTGTGTGTGTAGTTAATATTTCGGGTTTCTTCCCATGTAATTGTGGATATATCCCTAAAAGGGTAGAAGCGACGTTTCGGCAGAATCCCATCTGCCATCATCAGGCTTATGTCAGCAGTCATTTTGCACTAACTGACATTGGTATTTCAAATCTGGTGCTGGTATTCTGGGATGGCTCAAAGATGGAATACCTCTCAGACCCATAGTAAGTTCCATAGGCTCATCTTTACAAAATCTAGCCAGATATTTAGCAAAACATCTTCAACCTTACGCAGAATCTGCTGCTTCATATGTACAGAACTCATACCATTTCATACAAATAATAAAAAAGCAACACATAAAAGAAAGTGACCTTCTTGTAAGCTTTGATGTTGTATCACTATTCACACAAATACCTGTCAAAGAAGCCCTGTCATCAATTAAAAACAAATATCAACTACCAAAACATATCACAAACTTAACAGAACATTGTTTATCCAACACATATTTCATACACAGAGGACAGAGATATAAACAAGTAGAAGGTGCACCAATGGGATCACCATTATCACCAGTCATCGCTAATCTTTTCATGGAAGAATTCGAATCCAATGCCTTAGAAAAAACTGTTAACAAACCAAAATTATGGCTCAGATACGTTGATGACACCTTTGTGATCTGGCCACATGGAAGAGATAAATTGGAAAACTTCTTAGTATATTTGAACAGCCTCCATCCCAAAATAAAGTTCACCATGGAGATAGAATCAGAAAACCAGTTACCTTTCCTCGCTGTATTAATTTATAAAAAATCTGATGGCACCTTAGGACATACCATCTATCAAAAGAAGACACATACGAACCGCTATCTCAACGCCAAATCACACCACCATCCAGCACAAATAAACTCTGTTACCAAAACATTAACCACAAGAACTAAACGTCTGGCTGATGAAGCACATTTACAAACAGAATTATATACACTAACTAATGTACTGACATCAAATGGGTTCTGTAGAAATAAAGTCATCAATATGATCAAACATACAACACCAAGACAGAATAAAAAACAACAAGAGGAACAAAACAATGGGAAAGCCATCTTGCCCTATATAAGGGGAACAACAGATAAAATTAGCAAAGTACTACATAAACACAACATCAAAACCATATTTTGCACAGATAGAAAGATATCGTCCATTCTGAGAAACCCCAAAGACAAAATAGAATTAGAAGATCAAGGCATATACGAAATCCCGTGTGCTTCCTGCCCATCAACATACATTGGACAGACCAACAGAAGAATGAGTGTGCGCATCGAGGAACACAAAAACTCAATACAAAAGCAAGAACACACATCATCATTAGTTCAACATATAAATACAACAGGACACAACATTAATTTTAATAAAACTAAAACAGTTGCAAAAATAGAACATCTCAATGGCAGGATAATCAGAGAAGCAATAGAAATAGAAAAAAGACCATATTGCATGAATAAACGGGATGACACTCCACGTCTGCCTACTATTTGGAAACCTGCTCTCATAGATAGACAAATCTTAACACCATATATAAAACATAAACCAAACATTACGCAAAAAAATCCCAACCAAATCATATTCAAACCAGCCACAAAGATGAAGCCCTGCCACCTAGTGGAGAAAAACCGACCATACACCTGAAGCCAAGCCAATAAACACATACTGGGACTCCCAACCAATCAGAATGAGCCATCCCAGAATACCAGCACCAGATTTGAAATACCAACGTCAGTTAGTGCAAAATGACTGCTGACATAAGCCTGATGATGGCAGATGGGATTCTGCCGAAACATCGCTTCTACCCTTTTAGGGATATATCCACAATTACACGGGAAGAAACCCGAAATATTAACTATACACACATACATACCCGTGAAAACTTACATAAACATATATATATATATATGAAATTTTTATTTTTGAACAAAAACAACATAAAAAACATCATCTTTCCATATACTTACAGACAGTGATTCGATCGGTTAAAATCATTTCGTGCTCTCAACATTTTCAAAATTTCAGTTGTGACAAATGTTCTTTCATCTAACTAAAAACAAATGTTTACACATTTTATCCAAATTTCATTTCATATGTATCAATGTTTCTTCTTTCTTATTTTCCTTAAAAAAGAAATCCAAGTCTCTTTCCATTTTCTGTACAAAGTCTTTCTCTTTTAATATTGTAATATTTAAGGTCCATCTAGCTCTTCCTTTCCGCCCTTTCCAAATGGCAGTCACAGAATTATGATCTGCCCACAAATTTGATTCTATCTTCACTTGTTCAATGTTTAGAATCAAGTCCATTGTTGTCCATATCATATGCAGTCTAGACCAAGATGAGTGTCTGTCAGAATAAAAAGTATATTGTCTATTTTGTCTATTTCTCTCCCTCCATATATCTTTCAGAT